ACTCCAAATAGAGGGCGCCCTGGGAGGTACTTTTAAGAATGGAGGCTCTACACCACCTAAGCCCCACCGTGGTTGGGGCCAAGGTAAGAAAATTGGTGATTATGGCACCTTAAATGGCTGGAAATTGCACTTTTAGATTTAACATTTGAGTATAATTTTCTTTAAATATAGCCCCCCCCCCCACAAGTTCATTTTTTTTAGCAATTGGAGGTGGGGGGGGGGGGAATGACTTCCCCTACCCCCTTGAATCAGAAACTGCATTCTAGGATGGATATGTCGCGAATCAGTTACGATGATTTGCTTTAGGGTATTATTGAAATTGAGTTGTATACACAAACCAATAATTGTTTATCATTATTTTACAGGGACTGCTCGTCCATCGATACAAATCTGAGGACACTTGTTATATATCCAGCCTCGCAGAATACAACGATACAATATCGGTATGTAATCAGTTTCTTTCTTCTATTACAATTGATCATTATCTGCGAAGATCGCCTGGAATACAAAACCAAAAGTTACGGAATTTGCTAGTAGATATAATACCACTAGTGCATTGAACCTCCGGACATAGGGAAATGGATAATACCACAATTACCATAACAATGCTTAACCAAAAATATATAACATAATAAAGATGATGATGATGGCAATTACAGTGTCTGGAGTAAGAACAATTTCACTGGAAGATAGTGATGTTTAAAGATATAGAGACTTTTTTCTCATTAATTTGGCATGGGAATAATAATATAAACATAAATAAGTTCAGAATATCATTCTGTTTTTTTTTCGTGGGTTATACATACATACATATATATATATATATATATATATATATATATATATATATATTAAGATGTTATGAATTATATTTGAATTATATATTACTTACTTACTTTTGCCCATTATGCCTCGACTGGCACATTGGGCAGCATTTATAAATTATTCTGCCAACAAAAGTCTCGCGTACATTGTGGCACAGCCAGTTACGGACCATACAGTATGGCTAAGCGCGTTAATGTAACCAAATAAAATATTTCGTTGTGGCTAACAGTTTCATCCTCTTCTCTTATTCAATCACAACGAACGCAGTACAAAAATCTTCATCCCAGCCAATTGGTGAATGTAAGATTATGGTGTCATTAATTATGCCATGGTGTTTTAGCAACTTTAAGAATTATGCATCATTATTATTATACAGTTATCTTGCGTAACAAATCACAGTTTGATAGATATTGATAAATGACTTTCGATTAGAAAATTGTGTAGTATCTTTACCCATTTGACTAGTAATTGTACTGAATATCCAGTAGCTTAAAAACAATAATAATTAGTTTGAAGGGTTAAGAAATGCAATACTGTATGTTCTAGTCTATTAATTAATACAGATGATTGACGGATCGGGCATAACTTATAATGTCTCGCTATATTGTCTTGTTTATTTCAGGCTCAGGAAAGTCCATCAAGCTTGTTCAAGTACAGGCTGGAACCAATTTCAGAGATTAACCACCAGTACTTCAGCTACACGGCTACTAGCTCGATGAAACGCGTTTGCAGTGGCGCTAAAAACATATTATGGAGTGAAATTCATGCTAATGATGAGCAGGAAACGCGACAGAAACGAGGTTGTGCACTCATGTGCGGGTGTTGGTGTTCGTTTTTTTCTTGCAGTTGCGGTTGCAGATTGGAATGTTCATTTTAAAATGGTTTAATAATACAATATTATCTATATAACATGGTATAATGTAATGTGCTTTCACTCCATAATGTAACGGTGCTTTCGCTTGATATTGTATGCCTATAAAAAAAATCAGAAATAGTTTGTATAACTATAACAAATTAATAACCATTTTAGTTAATTCTTGCTGATCATATTGATCGTAGTTATAACATCTCATTTATTCACATATCTAATATAAAATGTCTATCAACATCTATTTTTTATATAAGAATAAGAAAAGGTAATTTTAGATTTTAGACAAAGAACATAATTATGTTCTTTGTCTAAAATCTAAATTTTGATCGAATAATTGTCTTTTTCTGGACAATATTACAAAAAACACCTTTTTCATATATCACATACATGTATAATATATATACACACGTATATACAATTGCTAATATTTATAATGTAACAAAAAATAAATAAAATAAAGAAAGAAATCAGCGCTATGTAGTACAGTATTAGTACTAATTATAACACACCTAAATATATCCCTGTCGTATCACGTGACATTGGTTATTTAAACCATTTCGTCAATCATCATGGAAATTTATTTCCACCGTGCATTAGTTTCCACCCGTTTTTGCCTATCACGGTGCCTAAAGAATATAACTTCAGCCTAATACAACCTTTTGATTGGTTTAAAGACGCAGGACTGTTTCATTTAGAAAAAGGGTAGACCTAGATTTTTGTTATGAAATATCAAATGACAAGAATATCCATTCAGAAAAAGATAGATTTTTTTGAATAGAATATCAAAGGACAATAACCTATTTTAGGTGTGTTATAATAAAACAAATAATGATTGTTTTCCTTTTTATTCGAGAAATGAAAAGACTATTTTCATTCGTTGGAAGAGTGACTGTTCTATTCAACTCGGCTCTTCCTCGATGAATGTAGCAGTCAATATTACAAATCATTAGAATAATGTTGCCATTGCGCTCATAAACATTCTTTATTTGTATACTATTTTATAATAAAAACGTCCATATTTTTTTGACATAAAAATAAAATCTGCAGACCAATCAGCTTGTACTGTATGTCCTTTTAAATTACCTTTCTAGTGGTATAACCATGGACCTAATAGGTCCATGATATAACAGTGACGGATCCAGAATTTTTTTCAAACTTGGGATGGGGTGGGGGGTTGGATTGGTAGTGACACAACATTTTCAGAATAGATATGTGAGTAGCGCGAATTTCAATATATGCATTGACACCCGGGTGACAAAAGGCCGGGTAGGCAACGGGTCCGGGTGGCAACGGGTCCGGGTGGAAACGGGTCCGGGCGGTAACGGGTCTAGGCGGCAACGGGCCGGAACCCTTGTTAAATATCTCGTTAGTTTTGGCACACCACGCTTACAAGTAACTACTAAAGCATGTCGCAACTCTGTGGTTTACGTTGGAAAGTCGCTAATTGTCATACAAATTGAACTGGTAATTACTAACCAGTAGAGTTAAAATAAAAATGTTCGGCTTTAATTCATTTTATTTATTTATCTTCTTGATACGCTGGTGTTAGCTCAAAACATAAATTGCAAACGATTATGAGGTTTAATCTTTGTCATAGGGAACACGTTGGTCAGAAAAAAACGTTATGCGTTGAGGTTGTTTTCAAAATTGTTGTCAAACGCGTCCACTTTCGATGGTGGTTGGTACATACATTTAAAATATGCAATTGACACTTATTTAACAGATAATGTTATTTCTCAATTAAATAGACATAGTAGGTTCCACAAGATAATCTGATTTTCTGTAACTGCGGTTATTAAAAGTCAAGTTTCAAATACGTTTTACTACAACCTTACACCATTGTGCTGGAGGTTCAATGCCTCGCTGTGCATTTTGCTTGTGTCCTTATAGGCAAAACACTTTACTTACGGTTGCCTCTCTCCAAGGGAGTACTTGATATGCTCAAACACAAAAGTCACAGATTGCAGCTGCAACTGAATTCTCCCCAGAGAGCCTTAAATCAGAAACAATATACGGGCCTCGATGATAGAGTTTGCGGATTCGAGTCCGACCATTTTTGTTTTCATACAACTAAGGACTTTTAGGAATAATAATAAATAATAATAATAATAATAATAATAATAATAATAATAATAATAATAATAATAATAATAGCAATAAAAATAATAACAATATAATAATAATAATAATAATAATAATAATAATAATAATAATAGTAATAATAATAATAATATGATGATGATAATGATGATGATGATAATGATGATGATGATGATGATGATGATTATGATGATGATGATAAGAAGAAGAGGAAAAAGAATTAGAAGGTGATGCCAACAAAGCCTCTAAGCGCTTCACATTATTACAGTAGCTCCAGTCATTGGAGTTATGGAACACACACCTTTCCCTTCAAATAGCAATCAAAAGCATTTTGCAAGAGGCCAGTATAGTAAAAGCAGAAGAAATAAATTTTAGTTTTAATTTTAATTTTAATTTTAATTTTAATTTTAATTTTAATTTTAATTTTAATTTTAATTTTAATTTTAATTTTAATTTTAATTTTAATTTTAATTTTAATTTTAATTTTAATTTTAATTTTAATTTTAA